GAGCACTGACGCATTTGTTTCCTACATAAGCACTGAAATGAAGATAGCTCCAGACCATTTACTTGCTAAAAGAACGGTGAGGATCAACATGAAACTTCAGGATTATGAGAATTTCGTGCTGACTCCAGTAAAAAACGACGCGAAGCCTGCTACCGCTGCTTCGCCTGACAGTTCCGTTGAGCTAATCAACAAGTTTCTTGAACTGCACCAAGAACAGAATAGGCAGCAAAATAATTTATTGCGCTTGCTTGTAAACGCGACGGAAAGATTAAGCAGACCGAGTCGCGAACAAGTGAAGCCACACATGTTTGACGGAGAGTCTAGTAGTCCCGAGTCCTGGCTCATGTTTTACGAATATGCATGCAATGAAAACTACTGGCACAGCGACGAAGATAAAGTGAAAAACATGCGACTATTCCTATCGGGCATAGCAAAGAGTTGGTACGAATGGCGTCTCAACGCCCACAGCAACAAACCATGGACAGAGTGGAAAGCAAGCTTTCTGAGCTCCTTCGGCGAGAACAAGGTGTTGCTATGGGACAAAGCAATCACGTTCAAATACAGGTCTGGATCTGCACTCTGCTATTTCTATGAGAAAAGGCGCTTGCTACAGCTGGCGGACTCATCTTTGCCTGAGACGCCTGTGGTTCCGCTTATCATTCATGGTTTAAGTCCGGACCTCCAGAAGCAAATACAAATGCGAGGACCCAAGACGGTCGAAGAACTTCTGCAGGGAATACGAAACCTCTACCTCCAGGACCTAGGAACCCAACGTCCACCCATGACACCTGCTGCAAGGAATACCGAGGCCACACGAGCTGAGGAACGACGCCCGCTTGCAAGCTGGAGACCTACTGCAACACCCGTATCCTTTGTCAACGCAACATTGTTGCGGGAGGGAACTGAAGAACTTAAGTTCCATAACGGGAAGTTCACAGTTCCAGAAACAATGGTGCCTCAAATTTTAGAGCTCTATCACGACTCCCCGCACTCAGGTGGACATGACGGCTTTCGGAGGACATATCAGAAGATTCGTCAGCGTTTCCAGTGGAAACACAAGAAACAGGACGTTCAAAGGTACGCTCAGTCTTGTCATCAATGTCAAGTTCACAAAGCCAAGTACCTTCAGAGAACAGACGAGATGGTTTTACCTCAACATTCCAACGTACCATTTGAAGTCATTCATCTGGATTTCGCAGAGCTCAAGAAGAAGGCTGCAGGAGTAAGAAGAACGCAGTCTTTCCTAGTGGCAATAGACCAGTGCACAAGAATAGTGGCTGCACGGCCGGGAAGGGAAGACGCAAATAGTGTGATCGCTCTTTTAAGTCGGGAGATGTTCAAGAATACGAAAATAGTAATATCAGACAATGGGCCAGCGTTTCTCAGTCAGCGTTTGCAAGATTGGGCGAAGGAACGAGGAGTTGTATGGCGACGCTGCGCTCCGTACCATCCTGCAGGAAATGGCATGGCTGAAAGAATCATTCGGGGTTTGAAGCAGTTCATTTCAATGTATCCAGGTTTTCAGGGTGGATGGAAGTGCTGCTTGGAGGCAGCTGTCGCTCATCACAATCGGTCGCACACTGCGAGAATCGGCTGTAGTCCATACTTTGCAGCTTTCGGAAAGGTACCAGTGCTTCCTGCTGATCAAGAACTTTGCATTGCAGACCGTCTGCAACTGTGCGAAAAACGAAAACCTTCGGAAGCCTACCAGCGATACCGGGAAAGTATGAAGAGGTACTTTGACCGTCGCCACAACACGCGGATACCTCAGATACAACTGAACGATCTGGTGCTTGTCAGAAAAGGCCTTCCCGGCACAAATCAGGTGTACATGGGACCTTATCGCGTGGTGCAAATCGCAGTGCAACATGGCGTTCTCAAAAGGGTCGGTTACACAAACAATGATGGTGTGCTGGAGTTTGCGACCATTGGAAACGTTTTCAAGTATCACCCCAGGAGGGATGAGTCTTCAAAGAGGGGGAGTGTACGTGGACGTGAGGCAGGGTTGGAGGGAGACGAGGAGGAAGAAGAGGTTAGAAATAAAGAAGATGGCTGACACCCCAGCCTAGTACTGTGTACTATTACAAGAATAATTGACATTATTTTCTGAAACACTGCAAGGGCAGATGCAAGCCCGAAACACACGCGGCGAAACCAAAACAAGCCTTCGTGCGATACAAATGTGGTTAAGTCTCTACTGCACTCAGAAAGTTCAACTTCGTGATAAGCGAACGCGAGGTCCAGCTTGGAGAAACATACCGCTCCGGAGAGCTGATAAAGCAGTTCTTCAATGTGAGGAAGTAAAAAACCGTCTACGACGATCGCCTTGTTCGGTTCTCGTAAGTCGACGCATAGTCGAAGGGATCCATTTTTTTTGACGACAACCAGTGGCCGGAAGCAGAGAAGGCTCGATGATTCCGCTGGCTTGAAGGCGAGACAGTTCCGCAGAGATTGCTCATGGAGAAGAAGAGGAATGCGGCGCAGCTTGGCACGCACAGGGCACACACCTGGTCTACGCATCACTTTATGCACAAAACCGCGCACACAACCCAGTTCACGGGTTAACAAGTGGTTGAATTCAGAAGGCGCGTTGGCCGGAAGATCATCTTGGACGTCGACTTGAGCACACGTCATAGACGCACCGACGATGTAGATGGACAAAGCCCTGATGGCATCACGTCCCAAAAGCGAGCTGCCATTGGCAGTTACATAAAAAGTAATGGAAGCAGTGTGACTGCGATAGGAGACCTGAGCTGTAAAATGACCTAAATTATCAATCGCTTCCTTGAAATATGTTTGTAGAACGACGTGTGAAGGCAAAAGCCGAATGTTGGAAAAATGACCATGAAAGTGAGCGGCACTGATTAAAGCGACTGAGGCACCAGTGTCCACGAGAAATGACAAGGGCACATGGCCCACTGAAGCTACGATGCTGGGCTCGGACGTAGTGTGGAGGCCATCCACATTTAAAACAGTGACCGTATTGGTCTGTGCAGTGCTCGAAGGAGCGGACGAAGAAACTGGTCAGGAAAATTTGCTGGACGGGAATCGCATACGGACTGAAAATGTCCGATTTTTCCGCACGCAAGACAAGTGCGGTTTCTCGCGGGACACTGCGAAAAATTGGCTAAATGCCGAGCCGATCCGCAATGAAGGCAATGCGCGGTTGCGCTTGGAGAAGAAAATTGCGAACGCGAGTTAGGAGCTCGGTGCTGTTCCTGAAAACAAGAATTTGGCGGAATGGGGTCGCCATATTGCCGGCTTCTTCGCCCCCGCGACGCAGAAAGGTTGCCATGTTGGCCGCCACGGAAGGACTGTGCAGGCGGGCGTCCATGTTGGCCGCCGCGCCGAAACGAAGGTGAAGGGCCGCCATGTTGACGCGTCCCGTGAAACAAAGAGCCGCCACCTTGGCCCCCCGAAGCGGAAAGTTGCTGCACTGAATGCGGAGCGAATTGCTGCTACAACTGGGAGCGAATAAGCTCGTCCTCTCGCGCAATCGAGAGGGCTTCGGATAATGAAATTGAGGAGCCCTTTTGAAGCATGTGGCAGCGGACGTTTTGCGAGGCTACCCCGGTGAAAAGCTGATGGCGGATCATATCGTGCTCGAGCGCGCCGAAGCCGCACGACGCGGCGAGCGTTCGAAGAGAAGTAATGAACTCGGCGACTGGCTCACCGGGCAATTGTCGCCTTTCTTGGAATTTTACGCGTGCGAGATAACCGCACGAGACATCTTTAAAATGCTCATCGAAAACAGGAACAGCATTCTTGAAGGCATCGCCCGACGCTGGCGTCGGCGACGCGTTGGTGGCTTCTAAAGTATAAAAAAGCTTTAACCCGGCAGGGCCTAATGCGTTGAGCAGCAGGGCCTTGCGACGCTCGGGCTTGCTGGAGTCTTCCCCGGCCGCGTCTGCGTAGGCCTGAAACACCAATTTCCAGTCCGCCCATGGAAGTACCGGGTCTCCGGGCGAATGAAGAAATAGCGGAGGTGAAATAGGAGACGCCATTTCAAGCAAGAAGAATGGAGTGGTGCAGACGAGAAGAAAATGACACAAGTACACTGTTTGAAGAAGACGACAGAGGCGGCGTAGCTGAATGAAGAATTGAAGCAACGCAGCACGCTGCTGCCACCTTGCTGGGAACAAAGAGCGTCTAGGGTTATTAGGGTAGGTTCATTAGAAGCACGAAAAAGGCGAACACGGAGAACGAAATGGGTTCTTACAGGTCCTCGTCGCCATTGCTGTGTTGGGGGCTGGCTGGCCCCGACGAAGCAGAAGAAGAAGATGGCCGACGGAGACGTACGCGACTGGCGGGGACGCCGACCAGCCCGAACACGCGGGTTGGCGCGAAGCGCCGAAGAAAAGAACAACAACCGCACTCCACGGTTACGCAACACACAGTGCTTTCATTTTACAGTCGCCTTGAAATCCTAGATGCCAGAGCGGTGCCCCCTGGCATCCTCACATGTCATTTCAAAACCGAAACCGAAAACCCAAAACACAACTTTTATGTCACTGGCAAAATTGAAGGCACGGCTCCTCACAAAGTTTGCGGACCGCAGGACGACCAAAGACTTCACTGAACACTGTATTGAATGCTGTCTAGGTTGGAACGTCAGTTTAATGGTTCCGAAGCCACAAGTGTGCAATGCCACCGAGGCAAATGCCGACAGTGGCCAGTCTCGTGGCTTCGTCCCATTTGTTCAAGACACTCACGAGTTCGTAAGTAGCCAGCCAGTCGTCGACGTCGTTATCGTCAGTGTAGAGGTCACCACCCTTCAGTCATTTAGTTCGGCTGCCACTAGCAGGTGGCGCCCCGGAGATTGTTTATATTCTGCCCCGAATAAAGTGGGAGGTCCCTTTTCGTTAGCTGAGCAGCTGTCGTGCGTATCGTCTCTCTCCGCTCGTACTCCGCCACGCTGGCGCGGCACCAGCCACAAGACATGGTGTCAGAAGTGGCTGCGTAACGCCCCTTCATCCCGAACTCGCCCGTACCGCACGACGATGGCCCTCGACGGAGTGGCGCCGAAAAAGCTCAGCCTCAACCTCCAGCCGCCCGCACCGTTCGACTTTGTGAGCCCGGGAACCTGGCCAACATGGCTCAGCCGCTACGAGGACTACGCCGTCGTTTCCGGCCTGACTCAAGCATCCGGCGACATGCACGTACGCTCGTTGTTGTACTGCATGGGGCTGGAGGCCCGCCTACTTCTGGAGACGTTCTCGCTCGACACCGCATCACTCGCCTCATTTCAAGCGGTTGCCGCCAGCTTCACCGACCACTTCGTGCATCCGGCGAATGAACACTACGAGTCGTCGCGTTTTCACCGGCGTGTTCAGTTACCCGGCGAGAGCGTCGACGCCTACTACGCCGAACTGTGTAGAATGGTGAAGCGGTGCAACTATCCGTCAGCTGAGGTAGAGCAAAGGCTTGTACGCGATAGATTCGTCGTCGGCCTCCGCCCGCGACTCGCGCCTTTCGGACCAGCTTTGCCGGAACGCGAAGTTGACGCTCAAAGAAGCATGGATGCAGGCCCGTCAATCAGAAGACGCCGACAAAGAAAAAACGTTGCCTCAAAACTGCGCAGAGCACTCCCGCGAGCAACACCTCGACGCCGTACGAGATAAGAAGTTCGCCTCTCGCCGCCGCAACTACGATAAGCGGCCTTCGCCCCCGCGGAAAGCAGAGCGCTCCTGCCAGCCGTCAACATGTGAATTCTGCGGCCGCGCGCCACATCCACGTTCTAAGTGCCCTGCTCGAAACTCCGTCTGCAACTCCTGCAAAAAGAAAGGACAATTTGCGGTAGTGTGCCGCGCGCGGCAGGCAAAACAGAAGCTCGGCTCCATTCAGCTTCACGCTGTCGGGACGCTCGCCGCGGCAAAGTTCGTCGACATCACCGTTGACAACTACACAGCGTAGTTCAAGGTCGATTCCGGAGCCGAGGTGTCCGCCGTTCCGAGCGACTTCCCTGAATTGCCGGCCAAGCTCGACCCCGTCAACAGCCTGCTCACCGGACCTGGCGGTCAGCCGCTGCGCGTGCTAGGTTCATACATGGCGAGACTTCGGTGGCACGGGAAAATGAGCTCTCAGCGCTTTTACGTGATCCAGTCTCTCACCGTACCTCTTCTTGGACTGCCGGCGCTTCAAGCTCTGGAAGTTGTAAAGTTTCTCGACGAACTTCAGACTCCGAAAGAAACATTGCGTGCTGAGCTCTTCCAGGGATTGGGCACCCTCAAGGACGAGTACACTATCCTTCTGAGACCTGGCGCCGTACCCTTCTCCCTAAGTGTGCCTCGCAGGATTCCCATCCCGCTACGCGAGGTCGTCCGTCACGAGCTTGACAAACTGGAGGAAGGAGGCATGATCCGCAGGGTCGACAACCCAACCCCGTGGTGCTCTGGTCTCGTTGTAGTACGGAAAGCCGATGGTTCCTACCAGCTGTGCGTTGACTTGACTCAGCTGAACGAGGTCGTCCTTCGCGATCGCCACATCCTACCAACTGTAGAGCAAGTCATTGGCCTCCTTGGCGACGCAACAGTTTTCTCCAAGCTGGATGCAACAGCCAGTTTTCATCAGGTTAAACTATCTGCCGACTCCCAAGAGCTCACAACGTTCATCACCCCATTTGGCCGATACTGCTTTTGCCGGCTCCCCTTTGGCATCACCTCCGCGCCGGAGTACTTCCAAAAACAGATGGCCAGAATCCTGGAGGGCCAGGAAGGAGTCGCCATTATGATAGACGACATTCTGGTCTTTGGGCGCACCCGCGAGGAGCACGATGCCAGACTGAGCCAGGTGCTGTCTCGCCTTGCAAAAGCAGGCATCACGTTGAACCAAGACAAGTGTCGTTTTGGTGTCTCCGAAGTCTCCTTCCTAGGAGTCATCGTTTCAGCACAAGGCATCAGGCCAAGTCCAGACAAGGTCGAAGCAATCAAAGCCATGGAGGCTCCAACAGACATCGCAGGTGTCCGGCGACTGCTCGGAATGGTGAACCATCTTGCCCGGTTTTTGCCTTGCATCTCAGGTCACAGCTCCCATCAGAGCACTTCTAAACAAGTCTGCGACTTGGGTGTGGCAGCATGAACAAAATGCTGCATTCGAGAAAATCAAGGAACTCCTGACATCAGACCGTTGCATGGCCAAGTACCATCCATCATATGCCACCACAGTTCGGCTGACGCAAGCTCATTCGGACAGGGCGCAGTCTTGCTGCAGACACAGCCCTCTGGAGAGCGCCACCCAGTTGCGTTTGCTTCAAGATCAATGACCGAGACAGAGCAGCGTTACAGCCAGACAGAAAAGGAAGCGTTGGCAACAACATGGGCTATCCAACGGTTTGACGAATTCGTCCACGGATCACCTTCGATGTTGAGACAGATCACCTACCACTCGTTTCTCTTCGGCAAGATGGAGCTGGACATGCTGCTGCCTCGTATACAGAGGCTCAGGTTAAAGACCATGCGATACCAGTTCCGAATGCTCCACGTGCCAGGAAAGCTGTTAGCTACGGCAGATACCTTGTCACGCATCACCCAGAAGGCGTCCCCCCCTGGACACCGTGGAATTGTTTGCAGCTCAAGTGGTCAGCGGCATGTCAGAAGCCTCGCCACTACGCCCAGAGGACGTGCGACAAGCACAAGAGTCCGATGGCGAATGCAGAGCCCTCACCTCCTTCTGCCAGAATGGTTGGCCACAGAAGTCCAAACTGCCACTGCACCTCTCAGTATGCCTCCGCAGCTGATGAGCTCTCTGTCTCAGACACTTGGTTTTGTATAATAGTTCACAGTGAAGGACTAAGCGGCGCACTGCGTTCCTGTCGGCCGGCGATGAGCGAGAGTTGGCGGGCAACTTCTTCGCACACAAAATCTTGGATCTGCTAGAGTACGGGAGCTTGCGAGGGGGTTAAGCCGGACATCGATTCCTGATATGGGATGGCACGACAGGTGACAAGACATTGCTGGCGGAGCTCATCATAGCTTTGACAGAACTCGGTAACTTGGGCGACAGTAACCAGGCTTTTTGAAATGAGCATCTGGAATGCGTCCTCGCCGATACCCTTAAAAATATGCTTGATGCGATTCACCTCTGCCATGTTCACAATGACACGTTTGTACAAGCCAATGAAGTCCCCTATGTCACTGGCAAAATTGAAGGCACTGCTCCGCACGAAGTTTGGGGACCGCAGGACGACCAAAGACTTCGCTGAACACTGTATTGAATGCTGTCTAGGTTAGAACGTCGATTTAATGGTTCCAAAGTCACAAGTGGGCAATGGCACTGATGTAAATGCTGGCGGTGGCCAGTCTCGTGGCTTCGTCCTACTTGTTATAGACACTCACGAGTTCGTAAGTAGCCAGCCAGTCGTCGACGTCGTGGTCGTCAGTGCCGCTGAATAAGGAAGGGTCCTCCCGCTGACGGACTGCACTGGAGGACACGATGGCCTGGGGAGCCATAGGTGGAGAGCTTGTGGCATATGCAGAGGTCATCGTGGCAGGTCAAGTCCGGTGAAGTCCGGCTTCGCAACTCCAGGATTGCGAGGAGACCCAGCAAACTCTACCATATATAATAAAGAACTGAGAGAGCCACAACTTTTATTTGAGACAAGATAGGATCGTAGGCCTAGCCAGCGAAAGGAGAAACAACGTCCGGGCCTAGCGCCTCGGGCTTAGCGCTGACGATGTGTTTGCTGAGCTTTGCATGACTCACTACTTCATTACGAATGCTAAATTTTGTATAAAAAGGACAGGACATTCGTAAAGATTGAGATGACGAAGCTTATATCCCCAATAAAAGTTATGTCAACAAACAGAGGAGTTTCGCACATCGTAAAGTGATATTTTTGCATCCACCTATGAAGACTATTTACCCTCGTGCTCAAGAACAATATTTCACAAAAAAGAACATGTTTCTGATAGTAGCTTTAAGTTGTTTTAAATAATTTAAGTACTTGGAACTTTACTATGGGAGAGCATAGAGCCGTCCTGTTTCAACAAGTCATGAACCACATACTTGTTTGTGTTTAAATAAATGTTTAACAATTGGTGAGTACTTGGTATACTCAAGTTTACTCAACTATGTGAGAGTAGTGAGCCGTCCCTGAATTTTGTGTGTTTTGAAAAAGTTCTTAACGATTTAGAGTACCTGGTACTCTACTATTGGAGTGCAAAAAGCCGTCCCTTGGGCCCCACCCACAACGCGAGCTGAGCTGTGTTTAGAAAAAATGTTTAATAATTTCGAGTACTAGGTACTCAACAATGGGAGAGCACTAAACCGTCCCGCTAAGCAAGAAGTCGACCGTCTTGCACTGTTCGACTGTCCATAGAGCCAGCGAAGTAAAGCTTCAACTCTCTTACGTGATCATAAAAAACCTCCTTTGTTGACCAGGCTATATGTCATAGTTCGGCCACCTATCTACTGAGCTTCACATGAAACTTACAGAATAAAATGAAAGGCGTTATGAAAGTAATGTCTTCATTTTATACTTTAGGCAAACGACTAAGAGCCAGAAAAAAAGGTGTAGGACGCTTGTGCTACGCCTTCAAGTGTAAAACACGGTAGCGTAATTGGTTACGAGCTGCATCGTCTTCTCCATTTTGAGCCTGCCTTCAGTTCTCCATGCGATTCGCAATCGTGCTGCAAGAGAACGAATGACTGCGCATCGTTCTTTTACTGTGCACGAAACACGCACCGTTTCGAATGATTTAATTATTGTTTAAAATTTGAATTCCTACTGCAAGTACACTCGTCAAGTGTCCATCGTGCCATAATTGTCACGTTTGTGAATTAGCGAAGGGCCCACTTTGCACCCGCAGGGCAACACGTGAACCTAGACAGCTGCTGACTTAGTTTATGTTGTTGCAGCCGATGATTATCATACATCGCTTGGCACTTTGCAATGAATGGGCCTTTTTAAACATTTATTCTATGCTTAGTTTAGATATTTTGACGCATGGCGCGATTCTGTACTACTGCCACGCAATACTACATGTGGCATGGAGGCTCCTTCCACCACATAGGAATATTATAGTGCGCTTGCGAAGCACTTTCAGGCAATGGTGAGTTTTATTATAGCTCAATTGCTTGCCACAATGACCGCCGGATTCTGTCCTCACTGGAAACATCTTTACTTTTTAAATTTTTATTTGACTTGCCTATTTTTTCTATTTTTCAGTCACCGAAAAGTTAAGAACTTGTGAATCACAACGAACAATGTTGCAACCGAAGCTGGCACCGGTATTTCTGGTGTCCGCTTGGGACCCACGCGAACGTTCTGCCGCTTTGTCTGGATCAATGCATTTTTCTATCTCAATTTTTGTAAGTTTGTTTCTACAAGTTTAATGCTCAAATACTTTTCTTTCTTTTTTGTCTTCCTCTCATATCTATCTCATTTTTGTGTCTGAATTTTTTTACCTTTTTCAAACTTTTCGTTGCCTTAAGTTTCGTTTTATTTTCGGGCCCTTAATTCACTACTTTCATTTCTTTATTTCCTTTTGTCACATTCTTTTTTCTCTTTTCCTTTTTTCGCACACTTTCCATTTTTGCTACTTTGTTTTTTGTTTGTTTCACCTTTTATACATTTATTTTAATCATTTCCTCCTTTTTCTTCATTCCACTTTTTTTCTGTCTTTGTTATCAGTTTGTTTAACACCATTTTATAATATATACGCTAGTAAGGCTTGCCTGAAGTCCTATGGCACATACACAGCAGAGAATGAAATGTGAGTGTTGCTTGAATTTATAACATCTTAAAAAGCCTGACAGTTATCATTCCTTTCTTCTTTTTATTGATGCATACATCAAACAGAGCACCTCTAAAACTTCACAATATTTTATAAACCACTCTCTTCTTGACCAACTATACGCAGTGGGCGTGCGTCATAGTAAATAGGCAAACGAGAACAAATTTTCCGCAATGGAGCCCACGTTACCAATAGCCTTAACTTTGCTACATGGGGTATGAGGAGGGTGCGTGCTGGCTCATCATGATGACGGTTCTTTTACGACAGAGCACCAGCTACTAATAGTCTAAATATATTCACTGCTAAAGGTATTAGAGTTGACCCGAACGTCAATATGATGAACCCAAAGATGCAATACAATGGTGACCAAGGAATGAGAAATACAGTCGGGTAAAAGAGAATTGAGTAGCGAAATGATGTTGCTCACAGGGATAAAAACTATGGCTCAAATAAGCGCTCTGATTAGCAAAAAAAGCTTCGCCCTGTGCTCGTGTTCCCCCGTTGTTAGCGTCTCAGGGCGTCCCTGGGCTGGCGGACACCCATGATGGCAAGCCAGCCCCCGAAGAAGGCGCTAGCCTTCGACGTAGTCGTCCCCGAGGGAACAAGTCCCGAAGACGTCGTTGACGCGACGTCTTCAATAGAAGGAATTGAAGAGGTCTACTGTGTACAGCACTTTGGAGGCCGGAATTACCAAGTCACCGTTAACAGTGAGGCCGCTCTGGCTCAAATCGTCGACGCGTCCCACCTCATCATCAGAGGCGAGCGCGTTGCTGTCGTACCCTTGGGACCCCAAGTCACTCAAGTCACCGTTATGTTCTTGCCGTGCCGCGTCCCCGGCGAGGTCCTCGCGCAAGCATTGTCTCCCTATGAGAAGGTGCTGCACATCAGCAGAGGACTCTTGGGATCGCGCCCAACCGTGACCACTTGGACGCGATTCGTCCGGATGGAAATGAAGACATCGTCGCCGGTGCCCAAATACCTCAAGCTCGCTGCCATCAAGTGACCTGCGACTCTAAAGGGATCCAGCGAGTGTGCCGTTGATGTGGAGACAGCGGGCAATTCCGCATGAATTTTACAGCTCCGTTTTGTGGAAGGTGCGGCGTTTACGGCACCGACGGGAAGGGCTCCTCGCTGCCGTGTGGCCGTTGTGGTGACCCGCATGCCACCGTCGCCTGCACCATCAGGCCGTCGTATTCCGAGGCGGCCTCCAAGAATTCCTCACCACTTCAATCAGCCAAGAATAAGGACGTCGTATCATTGACGCCAGGCCCGGATATTTGCCAAGACGAAGTTGGGTGCATCACAATGCCACACCAGACGCCACACCAAACGCCCACAGCGTAT